CACATTTTAGAGCACGGTTTTGAGGATATCAAGATACCGAACTCAGGTGGAGAGCGGCGAACATTTCCCGTCGAGTCAATGGAAAGTGGGGTGGTGAGGAAGGATAAGCAGATAAAGAGTTTGGAAGTGTAGATGGATCGTTCTCTATTGAGAATTTTGGATTGCAATAAGCCGTGAACATGGAGGGGCAAGGGGAGAGCCGAGCGTTACGACTGGTTGATTTGGTTACATTCCAGAACGATCGACCTCGTGTTCGATAGTTGATCTACCTTCTGACTAACTAAAACCTACTTGATTCTATTGACTAAAGCTGTACAGGAGTTACGGGGGGAGGGTAGATCAGTCAACGGTTGCTGATGGGGCGAGATGGCCCAAGTGGTAAGAGCGCGAATGTACTGACCGGAAGGTCCGTGGTCCGAATCCGACCTCCCCCTCTCGACTTCCCCTGTCTAGGCTTGGGCAACTTGGCAGTATCCCAGCCCTCGTGCTTCCTTCGGGTGGCATGGCAGCTAGGCACCGAAAAGGTGCTACAGCTGAACGCTTTCTTTTTTCTTTCACTACTGTCTCCACACCGAGATCGTCGCACGCACGGAGATGTGCGAGGTCAAGCTAGTGGGTGGACGCTTGTTTTTCAAGCTTAAAAAAGGGAGTCAACTGAATTGAACAAACTATACCGAATATCCGTGACTGTCTGAGCAAAAAATGAAGGCATATTGGACGAAGAACTTTCCCGAGAATGGAAACTAAAAATTGGCAATTTCCTAGCCGACAGAAGAGCGCTGCCAGAAAATACGGTGAGAGGGCGATGTCTGGTTTCACGGATGAAAATAGGCGGCTACGCGCGAGAAGGAAATGATCAAACCAAGCAGAGTGGGAAACATCATGAGTAAATCTGTGGTTCGAGGAGTGTCACCGTCACCCTCAATTTGCGATCAACAATAGAATACAGACGATGTCTTGCCGTTCGGTGATCGACAAAGATGACATGGGTCAGACTGAACCTGAGCGAGCGAAATTGGAATTCAGTTGTATGTGTGTGTGCTGGGAGTGGAGGACTTTGAGACAGGCAAACAGGACTGGGCATAGGTGCAAACTTTACCCTTAAACTGGGAGCAGCGGAACAGTAAGTAGCTCAAAAATGGAGTTCGGTCACCAGATCTGGGGATTCAGGTTTAGGTAAGGGACAAAACAGAAAGGGCGAGTGAGAATAAAGCTTGGTGAATCGGGTTAACACTATAGTTTACAACATGCATGTTGCACTGGGGCTGGGAGAAGGCGAAACTGGACGGAGCGGACAGCCATCGTAATTTGTATGTTCATGTTTGTTAAATAAACGAGAGCAGCCGTGTAGCCGTGGTTCGGTTCCGGTTAACCGTTGCCAAGCAACTCGAAGGGAAGTAAGAGGGTACTTCCACTTTGCCCAAGTCCCAACAGGAACATTTGGAAGGCCTGCGATGGGTTACAACAACAGACCTTCCGTTCAGTAGCTTCGCACCGTAACCACTGTGCTCATGGCTGTTTGATGACTGATAGACAGGCACTCAGAGGCTTACCATAAATCGACAAGGCTTCGGACCGCAACGATTAAAACACCATGGCTTCGGATATCCTGTAGCACAGACTTTGTTAGAGCAGTTATTATGGGATGAAGATTGACCGTTCGTTCGGGATGGATTTGTGGTCAAATTTTCTTCCAAACATGTCGTAAAACAGAATATTGAAACCAAGGAACACATATAAGTAGCCCGCTGCTCAAACACCTGAAAATGTGAAACGGCGGTTGACACAAATCCGTTCAAACCGGAATCCCGATAGTCGGGGTTCGGTAACTGGGAGATTGAGGTTCAGCGATGTGCAGTTTTGTGGTGATAGAAATCCAGATGTCAACTCCGGGATTAATGCTCTGCTGACAAAGCCTTTTTGGAAAACCATGGTTATCATGAATTCACCTTGATACGGTTGAACAGTCCCTTTCCCAGACGCAGAAGCACAACTTGAACATGCTGTGACAGAGGATTTCCATGCTATCCTTGACTAAAGCGGACGATAATTTGTCAGTGCTAACAGATCTTGAGAGGGAATGCATTTACATACTCCGGATACCCGGCGATGGAATTATGAGGCAGGGGTCGGTTTTTGTTAGAGTCAAAGTGCACAATCATTCACCAGAGAGGTAGAAGGTATTTTCAACGCAACGGGGCAATAAAAAAGATGGATCGTTTTTGAGTCCCATAATCATTTTCACCTGGTTATTTAGCCACGGAGCATGTGATAAACATACGTTTGTTTCAGCTGATGTAGATTTACTTACCGATACGAAAAACACGCATTGAAGGCAATAACCTATCGACAGCCTTGCGGAATACAGTAGCTGAACAGTTGAGCTGGTATAGTTAAATGGTTTTTCGCGGCGGAAAATACTGCAACACAGTGAGGCAACCGTGATTACGTTTCACTAAGAATATACGTGTCATCCGGAGAATACAGACGAAACCCTTTCCCGTCAACATGAATCACATTCTGCTTATCAGTGTTCCCAAAAAGTAGGCCTTATCGACTTCACTCTCGGGTCCGGGCGGTGTAATTCTATGGGTTTGGAAAAGAGCGCACTGTCTGTTGAACTTCACGAACACAAACATGCAAATTCAATAATTTTTGTTTAGCTGAGTGCATCGGCCAGCTGGTTTGATTCCAAGTCTCCGGTTCTCCTTTTCAAGACATCTCTAGAAAAATACCTTGAGCGTTGTGCAGGGAAATGTTTTGAAACCAATTTCCACCTGTTCATTTTTTTAGCAATCCGTAATTCAATCTCCTAGCTCGTTCTCTTTCAAACGTTGGCAGCGATAAATCATGTGGTGTTTCAAAGCTGACCGAACGACCCCACTAAATCTTGTTTATGTNACATGTAGTATGATGTAAAAAAAACAACCAATAAATCCTGTCAAATTTAAGGGTTTTCATGTTTCGGGGATGAGTACCTTATCCCTTAAATTGACGTGGATATCTGTGCGATCGTGTTAAAAGGGGCACAGTCTTAGGGGGAGCTGTTAGGTATGCGATGTACCATATAACCAAATAGACGCAGTCGATAACCTGATATTGAGTTCATTACATGTCCGCAAATCGGTTCGGTTATCTTTGATCCGGAGCTAGGTTCGAAATACTGTTGAGCCTTGCAAGCTGTGCATCAGTGGAGACCCGCATAGTAGCCGTCCACTCATGGCACAGAAGATGAAGAGCACATATTGTGCCCGCATGGTTTACCTAACGCATTTGTCATAGGAGCAACACGCTACAGTGACCTGATAAAAGAAAACAGTCCGTGGATCTATATGAATAGCTCTTTCGGAAGCTGGGATGGCTGTCCGTCACATACGGGAGCTACAAATAAGAGCTGAACGAAAACCCGTATAAAAACCAGGTGTACGCTTGTTGAGCTTACTACGAGATTAGCACAACAGAGCGAGTTCCTCCAGTTACTGAAATAGTTATGCAGCAACAGGATTGATCAATCACTCAGAGTAAAACTGCGCAATGAACAGACAATAGAGCTGTCTAGTTTGCGACTGAATAGAACTACAACCCCTGGAAAAGACCGCCTGAATTACGGACAATCAGTCGATGTCTAGGCTAGGGATTTCGGTGGTCGACTAGAAATTTGGTTCGATCAATAAGGTTCAAACGATGAAGCAGACAAATTGTAAAGCGCAGAAGTCAGTCAACAAATGACCAGTATCCATATCTTCTGAAAGCCAACCTGGCAACAGACTCTATGCTCGTAATTGTTCCATAAGGTGCGGTTGAGATCATTTAGTTGTGCAGATTGACACAGTTCGGACCCTGATTGTCACTCTTGTTGCGTGTTGCGACGAAATTCAGACGCAGATCGGACAAATAGGTCCAGACGACTCTAGAGAAATGAACACTAGTCGCGATTGAATCCGACCAAGTGAGCGGAAAGGATAAGGATACTTAGAGCCAAGACCAAATAGGATACTTCCCGACAGTCGTGACATGGCACTACTGAACGGCCGCTCTATGGACTAGCAACATCCGAGTCGAGCAATACTGGAAGTGGTATCGGTGGGAACCAATAACCTGAATGCTATGAGGACGAAAAGACAGCGGGTATATGGGAGAGATTTTTTTTGTAATCTGGCGGACTGTTCGCAACAAACAGTCTAAAAACAACAAATTACGGTGACGGTCGCATGCAGAGCAGATGAAACAGTGGAAAAATAGCTAGTTAATGTCATGTTGCTGGGCTATGTAAGTAATATCCTCCTGCGACACGCGAACTCTACTATACGATCCTCCGAGAGGGGCATGGAATGTACAATGAAATAGACGTAATGCACTACTCGTAGGGTTGCTGATAATTCTTCGACAGCCCACGACCGGTTTAGCCCTTCTTGGGTCTCATCGGGTAGGCACATTCCCCGAGTTTCCGTCAACCTTATGTTCTACTTGAATCCAAATTGCACAAAATTAGCGCAGTAAACTCATTGGCAAACAAATTTGGTTTTGCGAAAGACCCACCTCGAACCTAGCTGAATCCCTCGTTTATGATGTCTCTCAGCAACTGAACGTGCTGCACCAGGCCGCCTTATGTTTCAGTTGGTACGATATTCAAACCATCATAAACGAGAGATTCAGCTAGGTTCGAGGTGGGTCCCCCGCAAAACGAAATTTGTTTGCAAATGAGTGTATTCCACAGTGAGATACTTTGAAAGTTCGGAAATATTATATCGGACTGGCGCATCTCTAGGTTAGAAAAAACGGACAACACCGTTTCACCCAGCGGATTTTCACACGTATGAGCAACTACAGTCGTTCAGCGGGTGGAAATGTGAACTACATGCCAGCATCTCGATGTTATTCGAATGGCCTTTAATCATTTTGCGCAACGCATCATTAACACGGATAGTCCCCACCAAAGAAAAAAAACGAAAGTTCGTGGGTTTATGCACATTGTGGGTTTGTTGATAAATTACTTCACAATGAGTCGATCGATTCTGACGGGACGCAAGGATACACAACGTGCACACATGCGCTGCAAACAGGCACAGAGACGCCTACGGATGTGGAAAGGTGACAAACGACGTTCACCTTGTCTACATGTGCAAACAGCTTGGCGCTTAGCTGTTCAGTTTCATCGGGGTCATCCGAATGTAGACCAAATCGAACACATTCATCAGGCTGACAAATTAGCCGTTTTGTTTCGTAGATTTATGCATCATAGTGTTGGATATTCACATGGGCTAAAATCAAAACTAAAAACAGCTGATCAAATTCTGGACGATGACAAACAGTGTGGCAAAGTTCTGGAACATCAAAGGAGGCGCCGGAGACGGCCACCAGAGTTGGGAGGAAGAAGCAGGATAGAGTTATGTGCAAAACTGCAGATGAGATTACCAAGCCAACGTGGGTAGTGCTGTCATCTAGTGTTTACGTCGTCCCACGGCGGCAAAAACTAAACCTGTCAAGCGAAATGCGCCATCAACCAGCCACAAAGGTTGAGTGAATCAGCTCAACAAGAAAATCAAAATTAGGATAATTTGGTGTTTGAAACAGATGCTCCTCCGAGGTGGTTGGGTCCAATTGCTGAGGGAGCCAAGGCCAAGGATAGCAAGACAGGAGGCAATTCAGCGGTAGAATCGAAGAAGACCAAAGTACGAAAGGTCGAAATAACCATGAACGCGGTGTCATGAGACATTGCCACCATGTTTATTGCAGTAATGGCAGACGCATAGTCACAACTCATCTAGTTAGTATACAACTAAACACGAAAGCCATAAAACCTGGATCCCGAAGGCGACAGATAGAGTAAGCAAAGAATAGATTACCGTACAGCTAAGTAAATCAGTCTGAAAAAGCGCAAACATTTTCGGCAAGGTTAGTTAATGTTATATTGTAGTGACAAAGTTATATAATGCCCTACACAGATGTATGCGATGTCCCGGCGAATTGGAGGTTTATTGTTGTGCTTAATAGACCAACGTTAGGTATCCTCTTTGAAGCTGGGTGTGTTAAGATTGTTACGAAGGGGATCATGCAACAGTTCTGGTTAGTTGTTATATTTTCGAACCAGGGATCTCACGGAGGGACATGGACTTAGACATCACGGATGCTTTGGTCAGCGTGAAAGCAGCAGCTTCAACCACCCCGACATTATAAAAGGGACATGATGAGGCGAAATGTGGACTGTGATGCGCTCTGACTCAACGCTGGCAAATTTAGAGTGTCAGAAAAGAATTCACTTCGGCGGTCCAGGAACTACAATAGTGAAGCGGACCATGAGATCTAGGAAACTCCGTAGAACATGCATTAACAAACATTCAAGACAAAGTTCCGGTGAAATGTATGCACACAAAAGACTAAGTCAAAGACTAGCTTGCGTACCTTTAAGGTGTATTGAACGCGCTTGACGCGCATCCAGCTGTAGGAGTTATCTAGCCTCAAGTAGTACGATCCAGCCAAATGCACTTTAAACTTCCCCTTATGTGGTGTGAGGCGAGTGGTAATCCTTTGGATCGGAAGTACCTCCCACAGAGTTGCATCCACGGTGTCCGTAACGCTTCCATTGTCCACTTCAGGCTTGGATGCCTTCCTGGATAAAGGTTCGTGTGTAGAGGGAGTAGAGCTTGACATTTTTCCCCCTCCTTTATTCACATCCAAAGTAAGGGGATTCGATGAAACCGGACACACATCGCATGGTCGGACGAACCAACCAACACCAATATCATGTGACTCGCACAAAACACACCAGCTCAACTCGACACCGACCGGCAGAAATCCAACTGGAATATCACGTTGTCCACCGCGAGCTACCTCAACAACGGAAAATTGTTCAGACGAACCCAACGATTGAGCACTTGCTGACCGTGATAATGCTACACGAATCACAGGGGGCGGTGCGTGAGGCTGTTTGGATTGGTTTATGTGGGAATCTGGAACGGGGCCGGCCCAACAGATTCGGGAAGGACAGCTTGGGTCTCCATCAGGGTCAATCAAACTGCCACCGTAGACCGCTGGCAGAGATTCTGCGTCACAGTGTTGAAGAAGCGTTTCTGGATAGTTCGAGTCCAAAACCTGTTGCATAGAAAGCGAAGAGTAGATAGGGTATCGAAAAAGCGTGGCCAAATCTACTCGGAGATATGTTGCGCTAGCTCGGTTGTTATTAAACATGGAACACGCTCTACATAAATTCTAATAAAAGTTACACACACACACTGACGACATAGGGCACAATCAACATGGGAACGCGGTGATTTGGCCAACAGAAGTTACTGATAAGAGATAAGTATGTATTGAAACAAGTGTCGGTTAGATAACGCTTGCACCTCTACATCATACCAAGCCTTAAGGAATTTGAATACCACACAGCATCCGTGTTCCTAAGAGCTTAAAAATAGAGGCTGAAGTTTAAAAAAGTATGGCTTTGGGTGTGAGTTATGGGAAGGCGTGAAAGGTCCATACTTTGAAGAATAGCATACAAGGACCACACCACCTCCGTTTTGAACCGCATTCAGGTTCCCGACCTCAATAAATTACGCCAAACCGCGAGCACGTCCCAGACTGTGGTGATTTCGATGATTGCAATCACACAACGAGCCTTACCATTAGAATTCGAACACAACTGGGAAGCTGAGCGTTGCACGGCAAAACCGAATCACAGGAAAAAAGACTGATTTTCACTGGATATTGTGAAATATGTGTCTGGTCAGTGCGATGTCTTACAACAGTGGGTGTTCTCACTGATTCTGACACAAACCTGACCAAGCCCAGCAAGCGACGGCAGGCCAGTTGCAAACCAGCATTAGTCTTCAAAATCATCGGCGGGTTAGGTGCCTGGAGCAAAGACGACTACACACCAGCTCAACTCGACACCGACCGGCAGAAATCCAACTGGAATATCACGTTGTCCACCGCGAGCTACCTCAACAACGGAAAATTGTTCAGACGAACCCAACGATTGAGCACTTGCTGACCGTGATAATGCTACACGAATCACAGGGGGCGGTGCGTGAGGCTGTTTGGATTGGTTTATGTGGGAATCTGGAACGGGGCCGGCCCAACAGATTCGGGAAGGACAGCTTGGGTCTCCATCAGGGTCAATCAAACTGCCACCGTAGACGGCTGGCAGAGATTCTGCGTCACAGTGTTGAAGAAGCGTTTCTGGATAGTTCGAGTCCAAAACCTGTTGCATAGAAAGCGAAGAGTAGATAGGGTATCGAAAAAGCGTGGCCAAATCTACTCGGAGATATGTTGCGCTAGCTCGGTTGTTATTAAACATGCAACACGCTCTACATAAATTCTAATAAAAGTTACACACACACACTGACGACATAGGGCACAATCAACATGGGAACGCGGTGATTTGGCCAACAGAAGTTACTGATAAGAGATAAGTATGTATTGAAACAAGTGTCGGTTAGATAACGCTTGCACCTCTACATCATACCAAGCCTTAAGGAATTTGAATACCACACAGCATCCGTGTTCCTAAGAGCTTAAAAATAGAGGCTGAAGTTTAAAAAAGTATGGCTTTGGGTGTGAGTTATGGGAAGGCGTGAAAGGTCCATACTTTGAAGAATAGCATACAAGGACCACACCACCTCCGTTTTGAACCGCATTCAGGTTCCCGACCTCAATAAATTACGCCAAACCGCGAGCACGTCCCAGACTGTGGTGATTTCGATGATTGCAATCACACAACGAGCCTTACCATTAGAATTCGAACACAACTGGGAAGCTGAGCGTTGCACGGCAAAACCGAATCACAGGAAAAAAGACTGATTTTCACTGGATATTGTGAAATATGTGTCTGGTCAGTGCGATGTCTTACAACAGTGGGTGTTCTCACTGATTCTGACACAAACCTGACCAAGCCCAGCAAGCGACGGCAGGCCAGTTGCAAACCAGCATTAGTCTTCAAAATCATCGGCGGGTTAGGTGCCTGGACGCCAAACTGACGTCTATTGGTTACTTTCGGTACGCATTCCCGATACTGCTTGGTGAGCAAGACAACTGAGCTTCCCACGACTTCTGCATATTGAAGCGAACCACAAGATGTATCTCGAATGTTGGGCTAAACGGCGCTTCGTCTATAGCTGATTATATCATGCCACTAGAATATGGGACCCTCAGGCTGACTGTGGACCTTCAATTCGGAAGTGAAACTAGGCCGCAGAGTCTTAATATGCAAGACCAGCATTGGAACAAACTTAACCACAAACAGGATAGTTAACGTAACTGGTACGTTAACACCGAATTAGTTTGTCAATAAGTGTAGTTCTCGATTTGGGTTTGTTGTGGACTACAGTTTTCTTAATGCCTTCTTAATACCGTGAACCCGAGTCTGGATAACTGCTTGATAGCCTGATGCGCTTAGCCACACCAGAAATCCAATGAACCTGCGAATCAGCTGAATCATTGAACAGTGACTCCTACAAGCGTGTCATGTGCGGCCGAAAACGGGTTGCTTATAAAACTCACTTGGAAGGCTCTAGGCGGGCCAAAAATGATACTAAACTAGAACTCATCTGTCGAAGACAAGTGAAGAGCAACCAACCAACGAAAACGGTTATTCCATTGGCAGCTGTGAGATAGTTCTCCTAATGCGGTTCAAGTAGAACATAAGGTTAACGGAAACTCGGCGATTCCGTCTATATGATGACTCCTAAGAAGGGCGAAATCAGTTGTCAGTTAGAGAAGTTTTCAACAACCTTATGAGTAGTGATCGGTTACGTTAAGCTCTCTTTTGTAGTGATCAATAGCTGGAACGCGTACATAACCACTGGCTCCCTAATATGTACGTTTTTAAGGGGCGTAAACAGCAGTGAAAACCGGGTTCAATCTCTGAAAAGTGAACAAGCAAACGTAATCCTTCTTTTCAGAGAGGTTTGGTAAAGAGATATTAAAATAGCGGTCATAATGCTACCTAACCTTGAAGCCAATTGGGCATGTATAATCCGTTCTAATAAAAGCTTCACCATATCGCATCATGAGTTAATAACTTTTCTACCAGATGGGTAATAGAGTAGGCTCCATCTTGATGACAAACAGTTTGATTAGTCAGCTAATCCCAGAGTGACAAAATACTAAACTGCCGCCAATTAGGACTTGTTTCACCCAGTTTGGAAGGCTCATTGCGAAGGTCTGTCAGCTCCAGGGAGGAGACCTATTAGCAGACTGATTTCGAGTAAGTTATCCTCGACGAAGGAATCTGAAGAACGCAAAGAAAACAGCGCAAAGAGTAGACAACGAGTGAGAAAAGATCACAGACTGATTCCAAGATCACTGAAATGGTCGCACAGTATCCCGCCAAAAGATAAGGACTTTCACCCCAAGAACCCTCTTGTGGTTATTTTTCATGGAGAGGAAGTTCAAAGTCAATCCGTTTGCCACAAAACACTAGGCCTTTGGTAGACCCCTTCCTAGGAGGACCAGTTGAATTAGGTAGTATCAGTGGTTTCCGTTTGGAACTTCTTTGAGATTAGTACACTGACTTTATCGAAAGCTGGCTTTGTAGCCCATCATCGAGTTCACGACAATGAAAGTGTTGGTACGAACACAGTCGCCCAATTGGCTTGCGCTGATTGTTCCCGCCTTTTTCCGACGAAGATTGGCCTGAGTCAACACCGCCGGCACGCACACCCCACCCAGCATAATGCAGAT